TTTTGATTATTAAATACAAAATTGATTATTGAAAATTTTGTGCAAAATTATTTAGTTGGTGTATAATTATAAATTAAACATGCTGATAAAATTACAGGTAGTGACTAAATTCGATTGAAAGTTGTGAACTTTTTGAAAGCAAATATATTCCATCCATAACATAAACTTTGTATGTAACAAATTATTTGTTATTTAGGAAATTTATACCATATTATTTTATTAAATTGCTTGCTATTAATTGCTTTTATTATAGGAAACAAATTCATTTAAAATTAAAGAAAATATTTTAGCCGATATTTTTGGAAGTCAAACTTCAGCTTTGGAAAGCGAGACATTTAATGTAATTAAAATGGAGATAGAACTTAGTTTGGCGAAGAAATTTTTTTTGTCTGCTCCATGGATTTAAAAATGTCGCGTGGAACTGAGTTAAACAAATTTTTCTGGGGAAAAAAAACTTAAAATGATGAAAATGCATTAAAAAAAAGTTGGAGACAAAATTCAAGAGAACTTTTCACCGTAAAATGCCTATAGTTAGTTCATCTTGCTGTTTCGATTAAAAAAGTCTTTTCGACGAATTGCAAGTGAGTATCATAAAAAATATTCTTAATTCCTAACTTTAAACATTAGATATTCTGTGTATCTTTATAACTGGACATATATTTTCTTGTTTGTTTGATTTGTTAAGGTATATTTTTATTTTAAATGCAATGAAATTTTTTGATAAAACTAATTTTATTGCTGTATTTTTAAATGTGATTTAGAAAATTCAACTACCTTTTGAAATTTTACTGATATGATTGAAATTAATGCTTGTACTTATTATAATGAACCCCAATGTATTATCATCATTGAGGTATAAAAAGTTAGTGCATTGAACGCCATTTTATAACTTGTTAAAGAAGATAATCGTAACATATGTCTATCGTTTAATACTTCTAATTATTGATTTTTTTAAAAAGTTGCTTTTAAGTTTTTTAATTGTTTCCTATATGACAACCATGAACCTTTTTTTAGCATAACCAAGTATCTATTTTAATGATTTTAGCACTTTATGTGGTTTTTTTTGAATAAATAGAAGCATTGTACTTCATTTGAATCATTTTTTTTTAAATTTATGAAAGTATGAAGTAATTTAATGATGAATTTTTTTTTCTCAGTGAGATCAAACATTCATTTTATTTCACTCTGTATTTTATAATTTATTTATTTTATCTACGAAACCACCTCATATATTGGGTGTTTCACGTTTTTTTAAAATACTCCACCATCGATATAATAAATCTTTGAGAAAAGAAAGACTACGCAATTTACCAAGCTAATATTTAACATTCGTTTATTCTATTAGGTAGTAATTTATTGACAATTCTGAAATCTCTTCTTTTCTTTTTTTAAATTTATTTATTGAACAAGTTTTCCCTTTTAACATTATTAGTTAACAGGGCAATAAATAGTTGACGAGTTTCGATGAAATAGTTTATAACTACTAAATTTCATTATTTTTCTTTACACATGCATATGAGTATCTTCATACAAATGAATTATGTATATACAGATGAGCTGAATAATTACAACATTTCTTGAATAGTACTCGCACAGGTACTATACAAGAGTACCATCAGCATCAGCAGCATGCTTATTTCAGTCAGTTGTAAAGGCTTTTATGTGAAGATATCTAAACACTACGTCTGAATTTTTTCTTTTATAATAAATATATTTATCTACGAATATCAAGAAACAAATAAAGTGCTCTTCGTTTTATTTTGAGGTTGAAATGTTGGGACAGATTTGTTAAAGTATTGCAGAGTTTTTTAACATCAACTTTTCAGCAATATTTCCCCAACAATATTTTCAAATATGGGCTTTTTGAGTTTAAAACTACAGTGGTTATTTCACTATTAAGATCCAATTATTTGAATTAATCAATAATATTTATGTTTTCTGCAAATTCATGCACCAATTAAAGTCCCATTTGACTTTAACTTTATCTGTTGATTACTTTTAGAATTTTGAAAAAGGATTTTAAGCAAAGTTATTAAAGTATCAAGTTGAATCATGCCACGCTATTAAAATATGATAGTTACTGTTAAATTGTTAAAAGGTTTAAATTTTCGGCAAACTTATTAAAGTATCGAGTTGAGTCATAATTCACTATTAAATTATGATAGTTATTGTTGAATTATAAGCAAGTTTAAACTTATTAAGGTATCTAGTTGAATCATATTGTACTGTTTAAATATGAAAGTTATTGTCATATTATTAAAAATCTAAATTTTCTTTAAAATTTATTAAGGTTAATTAAACTAAATTCTCCAATAAAATATCATATATTAGCAGCGTAATTAATTTATTACATTGGTAATATATAATGGTGATTGATAAACTGTGACATCGTTCAAGTCTTCTGAAAAATTATTAAGCTTTTAAGTGAAATCATTTTATCAACTCGAATCATTTTATCAAATTATATTATCGTGTCAATTCAGTTTTCTTAGATTTTTCAAGTCTATAATATATGGTCCATGATATCAAATTAATTTATTTTTATAATTTCTAAAATTTTCAAAATAACGGTTTAACCGTTTTGTTTAAACAAACTTGGCATTATTATGACTTAACATAATGATTTAACATATAGATATGTTTTCGCTTTATGATAGTATTCTGCTTAGATTTTATTATATTTTTTTTGCGTCAAGAAAAATATTGCCAATAATTAAGGTCCTTAAATTCATAGCAAAATTCTAATTATTAATTGTACAAAACGGACTCGTATTTTAAATATTTTTTGAAATGAATATAACGATTTCTTTTTTTAAAAAAATTACTACACTGCTGATGTTTTATTTTTCCTAGACAAAAACTATTGTAATTTTTTACTTTTTCGCATACTTTCATGAATCTAAATAATATGGTGTAATTTTTCAAACATTAAAAATGGAATAAAATTTATATTATTAAAATTCATAGTTTTAAATTCAGACGGGTGATGAAAAAGAAAGACTCTGCAAATCAGTAACAAATCTGCTCCAATATGGAGTATATATATAATTCTATTTCTTGAAGGCTTCGGGTGATTACTTATTGTTATCATCGTCATTTATTTTAATAAGGCTAGGAACCTTTGTGCCTGGTTTAAAGAAGAGAGAATTTATTGCTGAAAATGTACGTTGATACAACAGCATCACAAGTTGAGAGCTGCAGATTTAAGAAATTTATGGATATGAAAAAGAAATGGAATTTTCGGTTACATTAGAAAACAAAAAATCTCAAAACGTAATTTTAATGGTGAATTAGTTTTGATTTTTCTATGTTAATGAGGTAATGCAAATTTATATATTATCAATGGGAAAAAATAGTTAAACAAGTTTCACTAATTTTACATGCGTTGTTGGCTAGACGGTAAGCAAAATTTTCTAGTCAGAGAAATAGGGAGGGTGTTTAGGAACTCTTTCCTTCTGTTACTTACGTCGCACTAGAGCTGCACAATGAGCTATTGGCGACGGTCTGGGAAACATCTGGGATAATGATCTGGAGGAAAAACATACATACGTCACATATTAATCTCATAGATGTATGCAAAGAAGAAAAGTTTGTTTTCTTTGCACAAGCAAGAACTTAAAGAAAAAACAACTTTCACAGATTTCTTAACAAAATATCTTTACGGTGGAGAAGTTCTTATTCTGTTGATTTATTAATTTTCTTATAAGGAAAATCTTTATTTTAATTTTATGCGCACGGACTTTCCGTCTAAATATAATGGTAGTAAACCATTTATTTTTAAAATTTTCAGACTCAAATAGAAACAGAAAGAATTATAAGCTTGCAATCGAGATTATTATATCGCTGGAATGAATAATAAAATTAAACTGTTCTGTTCTGTTTTGATTTACTGTTCTGTTCTGTTAAAATTGTTCTGTTTTGAATGACTCCTATAGTCTTATCCTGGGTAGCATGTTTTTGCGAAGTGGATTTTAAAATTTTTCCTCGAAAATAAAAATGCAATTTAATATATTTTTATATTAAATTTTAAGAAATTTTTCATGTTGAATACGCAGTACAGATATACTATCTTAGGTAATCAATCAGATTATTGTTCAGTAAGAATTTCAATTATTATCAAGTCTATTGTTACAAATCACACACGGGTGGCTAAGCTGTTTTTATTAAATTTAAAATGATTCTCAGAGATTCACAGCTAAGCATCGATTATTATTTTATGGTACGAAGATTGGTTAGTAAAGGAAGGAATATTTTCTTAATTATTTGTTTTTAAAACGTCATTAATAATAAAATGCAGTTACGAACTTACTATAACAACATGACGGGAAACAGTTCGTTTACAAAAATTATGTCCAAAAATGTTTTTCTGAAGGTTAATGCAAATTTTAAAACCTTGTTAATAATTATTTTTTAATGCCAAAATTCTCTCAACTTGTGAATACCGTTGCCATTCGAGTAAACAGAAATCATGTTTCTTGTGAGGTTGACAAAGCACAGCAGGCGAGCAAGCAACGTTTCTAATAATCTAACTGCTTAACATTTACAAAACTTTGGAGATAACTTAACGACACATAATTATCTATTCTAGCAGTACTAGTGGAATATCACATATTGGGGAAAGTAACGACAGTATTCAAAAAACTGCGTCAAAAAAACAATCTGAAAACAGTGAACAATAATAGGGAATATACAGGCAAAATTTGTTTCTTTTATAAAACAGCACAATCTTTTCAAAGTCTTAAATCCTATTCAAAAATTTTCTCCAAACTCCCTGATCAGTCATTTCTCCAGATTATTCCGGAAAATTCACAACTTCACTTCAGTATTCAAAAAATAAAATTAGTAAAGAATTTGATGAAAAAAAAATTCTCTACGGCGTTTAAAGGAAATTTTTTATCATATCATAGTAGAGTTTTTTTTTTCAATGTCATTAAAGTAAATAAAAGCTATATATAATTAAAGCTTGCAAAAGACTAGAATTGTTTAATAATTATAAATTAATTTTTATAATTTCTTATAAATAATTTGAACTTCAAAAATTAATTACTTAATAATTACAGCAACTCTTGAAATTGGCTTGAAAAAGTAACTTAATTATTCCGTTACGATATGCCTGTTTAGAGATATTAATTTTTTTTCTAAATCATTAATTTGAATTCTTCAAGATGATTACAATTATGTGATTTGGTAATATTATATGATTGGTAAAACCATATAGTGCAACTCATAGTTACTCTAAATGGAAGATTAATCGCAATTGTCACTTTTATTTTGATAGCATTAACTAAAATGTTAATCACTGTTTTATGAAGTTTGTTGATAAATTAAATAATGAAACATAAGATTTTTTTCTTAATAATTAAAACCCTTCGTCAAAATTTCTATAAAAGACTTAATATTCAGAAAATTTATGTTCAGAGAAAGCGGTCCGGCAGCAGATGTTGTTGTCCAAGGTGGTCATGGAGGCATGTTGGTGGAATAGCGGTCAGTATTTCACACCGACTGCTTTTATTGGTCAGACAAGAATAGTAGTCATAGATCTCTGGCTAGATGGATTTCAAGCTGCCACTAGAGATAGAACCCAGCTTTTAAAAATGAAAATCCAATGTCTTAACCATTGCGGCTATACTCTGTTGCAAGTTAAGAAAAAACCATTATCCTTATGGATAAAGCCTGTTTGCATCTAAGTACACACCAAACGGATGCTAAGCTCCCAGCGCGAAAGTCTACCAACATTGCTAGCTCTTGATACAACGTTGCACAGCCTTCTTTTTGCTTGGTTTCTCAAATCGTGTGAAATGAGGAAATTAAAACTTATTGAATAATCAATTAACAAGTATTAAGAATTAATAAAAATGACATCTAAAAATCGTAACAAACATACGTTTTTCTGTCAACATTTAAAGAAACTGATGAAAGAGTAATAAATATTGCTCCTTGCAGGCGATTTTCTTCAATAGCGAAACAAAATTCTCTATCTCGCATTTGATTTGTTAAGGTACTATCAGCGTAGACACTTCATTTTTAGTCGTCTAATCAAATACAATGATCTTGCAATCTCATATAGATTTTTTTTTCTAGAACAAATCTTCTCCTTATCTATTGAAATACGTCGCCAAATCTAGAATTGCAGTAGCACAACGAAACTATAACTTTTCTTTTTTAATAATTCTAGGATATATATCGTAAAAGGTAGCGCAAATTAAATTTTTATCCGACGAGTTTAACCTTTAAGAGCTTTTATATTGTTTTGAAAGCACATTTGTATAATTTGATAACTAAATAAAACGAAACTATATCCAGTCGCGGATGATAATTTAAATCCTAAATCGCAATAGTTTTTTCTTCTCTTGCAAACGGATTAAAACGATTTTATTTGCCCTTTAACCAATGAATTTTAATAAATTGCTTTAGAAAGATTGATGTTTTATGACTTATTAAACCCAACTTGTATAATGACCAAAACGTTAACATAGTCTGTTATTTATGATCCTAACCTGAAATAAAATTATGTAGTAGAATAGATTAATTATTCTCTAGTTTGATTGATCGTACTTTAATAGTTAAATTAGAAATAAAGTTAGAATACCAAAATGATTGATATTGATATGGCACTTATTTCCTTTTGCATGACGAGTTTAGCTCGTCATTGTGCTGCAAGGTATGAAAAACTAAAGTATAGCTATTATCATCATTTTACCGAAAGGGTTTATTTTTATTTTCGGTTATCGACGTGATTTTTACGGAGAGTTTCTCTTTACACGTTTGGGTCTCCGATCTCCTTTCCTGAAGCAGATTAACCTGGAGAAATGACTTCCCAGTTTAAACTAGATGACGAACTCAGAAATTGAGCGAGTTGGCAACTTCAGTTCAAGTACGCAAGCATATATGAACTTAAATAGCAAACATTTGCTTCAATACAAAGAGAGTCTTTGCCATCTTCATCGCCAATCTGATATTAAATTGCATCGAATTTACTTTCAAACAACCTGATATATTCAATATTGACGTTTAAAAGTTATCGTAATTTGAGACGAGTAATATGATACCAATCATGCAGCACGCGATGGCCTTCATTTTCAAAGACTCACTTTGTTGTCATTACCCGTGGGTTCAAAACTCATTCTGCTGTTCATTAAAGCTTGCGATCGAATATTTTCCACTTATTACCAGCAGAAAAGCGCCATTTCCTTGGCGTGAGATAGAACCAAGTCGCAACCAATCTCAACATTTGTGAACTTGGCTTGTTTTGTCGAGTAATGTCTTTAAGCCAACAAATCTTCATGTAACAGCCATTTAATGCTTTCGATGATAAACAAAGGAAAGACTTGTCGTTGTTGTTGTTGTCCAATGGGAAGTCTGAAAGTCGTATCAGAGCTTGTCCTTTGAAGGATTTTTAAGGTCATAGCTCATGCGTCGACCATTGAGGAGTGGTCGCACATCGTCAGCCGCTGCTGCCCTCCTGTGCGAGGTGGTCACCATTTTGGCCTCACGCTCAAAAATGTCAGCCGTAGCGTCTTGGTCTGATTTGCAACGAGACATGGCTGCCGAACTGCCAGCCTTCATGGACACGACCGCCATGTCGTCGTTGGCCACCTGGTGACGAGATGGTGTGGGCGACATGCTTTCTGAGCCACAGGAAGAACTCTCACTGAGTTCAGCGGTTGGGCGACGACTAATCCTGGGCGAATGGTTCGGACGGCGCCCCAGGATCTGGGCTTGAATATGCTCACAGATGCGCTTGAATCGGCGAATAGGCCCTGTGGAACAAAAAGAACAGGATCAGATTCACAAAACTATATGCCCGTATCAAAACAGTTGCAAATAATGGAAGTGATAACTTCGCCAAGTTTTGAAAATAAATATAGTCGGTAAACTTTTAATTCTGAACACAGCTTGAAATGCATATTTTAGAAAATGGACTCGACCTAAAATACTTATCAAAGAACAAAAAGTAACGTAAATTTAGCAACTCAATGAGGAATTTCGTACTTACTTTTCCTTACATTTTTAAACACTAAGCATAATCTTTAGGGATTTAAGTTTTGTCGGGGTGGCTACTGGCTAGGTATATTACAGACGTAACTTTTCAGAAACCTCTTCGCATTCAAAACACTGAGCCATGAAGAAGTTTTAAAAAAATCTAAATTCATACAACGTCTATGTAATAGCACTATTATAAATTTATAGGATTCTCGACAACATTATAAAAAAGAATTGTCGAATTTTCATGTTTTCAGGAGCGATTAATTTTAAAAAAATGTGCTGAGGGATTTAGATAAATGGATATCACAATTATGAATTTATTTGGATTCATTTGTTTATTTTTAAGAAAAAGAACAATTTTCAAAAGAGAAATTTAAAAAAAGGAATGCTATGTCTCTTTTCTTAAGCACAGATTTTGAGCTACGTCTAGAATAAAAAGCTCACCGGTGGCATGTTTGTCACCTTGATGATTAATATGTTCCACAATAAGGAGAAAAATTAGAAAATGTCTCCCTAACTGAAAGAACTAGGGAGTTATTCTTATTGTTTGATACATATTATATATCGAAATCAGGACGTGTTGCTTCAGAGGTGTTTCTAAGTTGTCTCGTTGACGGTATGAGTATCTTATTTGATTTTGTAATTGGAATGAAGACTAATGACTTTGTAATTTGAAAAATGTTCGGTTAAGGACTACTGCAATGGTTTTTTTAATGAATTTTCTTCAACAGAAAAACGAGGAAAAGTAGTTTATCTGGCTAGTGGACTATTTTTAAAAATCTAAAATACTTGTTTCAAAATAGTTCCATTTAAGGATTTAGAAGATAGTCTAAACAGAAAGTTATACTCTCGAAATGAAAATCATTTAAGATTTACTGCAACATGTTTAATAACATTTTGTATGATTCATTTCATTTTATATGATTCATTTCAGTTTTGACAACAATAATAAATGGATTAGAAGTGAAATGTTTTGAAAATATATTAGGTATGTAGCTCATAAAAAATGGCATATTTTTAATTAAAACTTGTTCCGTTCCAGGAAAAGATTGATGATTTAAACAATCATCTACAAAAATAAATAAATAACAATAAAAAAGTATAAGAATATTGAAATATACGGTTTGATGCACTTTGGCTTTGAAACCTTGTGCAAGTTATTTTAAAAGTTTAAAAAGTTTTCAAATTATTTAAAAACATTTTAACAGATGACACTACTAAGAAAAATATAGATATATAGTAATTCATACACAGTTTCCATGAATTCTATTGTGTAAGGTAAATATTAGAACGTCTTTCAGTTTTATTGGACATATAAAGTTTTAATGATTTCAGTTTTCTATCTTCCCGCTGACCTAGATAATGATTCATCAAATTTTATCTATAATTTCCCTAATTATCTGGGTTATAATCTAAAATTTTGAATAAAATAGCAGAAGGTTTGCTATAAGCTGACTGGCTACTTACCGGATATGAGTGTAAAAGATATACAGTATACGGCGGGCTTGTCAGTGCTGCTCCTCCTGTCCACAGCACTGAGGGGTCCGTCGTGTGTGCCCGCACTAACCAGCGCTATGTCCACGTGGAAACGGACGTTCCTCTGGAACATTGTCGGACCCCCGGCACGCTTGTATTCCACGCGGAAAGACATAGGAGAAATCACACTATGGCACAAGTCAGCAATCTGTATTGATTGAAAAGAATGAGAAATGAGCCTCTCAAAAAAAACCGCATTTGTCAATCGTTACAGCGCTTATGA